CTGATGAGGTCACACTCCAGCGGCCGCCGCGGAAACAGAGCCCGTGGCACGTGGCTCTTGCCCCTCCGTGCTTGGCATCACCCACACCAGGAGCATGGGGTGGCCGTGCCGAGAGCAGGACTGGACGGGGACACTAAGAAACAGCCATCCCTGCGTCCACGTGGGCCCAGCCCCCCTGAATGTTACCCCTGGGCCACCAGGGGCAACCCTTCAATAAACCAATAAACCACTGAACCGCATTGAGCTCCATCCGGACACAGTCCACCAGCATGGCAGCCCCCCGGGATACGGCATGGTTATCCCTGCCTGTGCCCCTGTCACTGGCTCATTTAGACTGGGTGGTGTGTGTGTGTGTCGGGGGGGTCCATCCATTTTAGGGCGACCCTCCTCCCGGGGTGCTACCATGCCCCCGTCTGCTCTGCCTCAGGTCCTGGGCGCACCTTGGATGGCCTGCCTTCTCCCGCTGAGCTGACGCCCGGAAGAGCCGAAGCCCCTCTCCTTGGGGACCTGGAAAATGTGTGAACCCCCTCCACTTCCTCTGGGGGCCGAGTCCCCGCCCACGAGGTTCTGATTTCAGGCAGCCTCCCCGACCACAGCTCGGAAGTGTGGGGCCTTTGAGTCTTTGAGTCCTGTGTCTGCAAATTTCCAGCGGCTGAGCTGGGTGGGGTGGGGTGGGGGGGCTCCAGGAGTGTAGGTGTGCCGGGTGGTCCCCACGTCTCCCTTCTCCCCCTGGGTCTCTCTGGCTCTGCCTCCTCCCTTGGGCAGCCCGCTCCCATGCTCTGACTCACTCCCCACCTGCTGCTCTCCGTTTGGGTGCATCTTGGTCAGGACAGGAAGGAGGAGGCTGAGTGACGCTGCCTGTACCCCCTGAGTCCCCCCCCAGCTCCCGCCGACACCCCCACCGCCAGCTGTCAAAGGACAGTGCGCAAGACCCAATAGGTCCACACTCTCCACTGCCCGCTGCCCACACCCCCTCGGGGACAGCTCTGACCCGCAGCAGAGCGAATCCAGCCCCCACGGCAACCGGAATTAATACCACAGACCCTGGCAGGGGCTTAAGAACCAAGACCACAGCCGGCTTGAAACCCGTCATCCTTGACACTCAAGTGCACGCCTTCAAGGCTTGCGGGGGGTGGGGGGATGGGGGGGTGGGAGGGAGGTTGGGGTGCCCTCCCCCCCAGGGTTAATGCTTTTTCTCCTCTTCTTCATTTGGCTTTATCTGAGCCCTGGTTCCCTGGGGCACTTGGAAGCAGGAGTACTTTTTTTTTTTTGTTCCCAAGGACCCATGACAAATGAGCACCGCTGGGTTTGAATGAAGTCAGGCCTCACTGCTTTTCATTTTGGGTTATTTTTCTTTTTCTCTTTTCCTTTTTTTTTTTTTTTTGGACCGTTTCTTTTTCTTTCTTCCATTTTATCGGGCCGGGAGAGCATCCATTTACATCATCAGGACTTTGGCCGGTTGCAAAGTCTTGGGTTTAGTCAGCGTCTTTGGCGCCGAAGGATGCCAAGGAGAAATGCTTTGAAACGTTGTCATGGAAACCTGGAGAAGCTAAGCTCAGTAACTGGCGGCTTCCTACGCAGCTCTGGGACTGCGGCCACTCTGGGCGGTGACCCCCGGTGGCCTGCCGAGTCCAGCTCATGCCCCGGTAGCTGCCTGCAATTGTGCTAGCAGAAACAACTGCGTCTACACCCGCGGAGCTGTACACCTCAGCCCCAGGAACCGAGAGGCTGAACAAACATCCTCTTTATCTTTGGATCTGCTCTGAGCTGCATAGCTGTGCCCCAACAGCTAAGGCAAGAGGAAACCCAGTTTCCCAGTGTTGAACGCCACTTCCCAACCCCCCTAGGGTAAAAACTCAGAGGTCCCCTCGGACAACGTCCCCCTCACCCCGGAGCCCGGCTACGCGGGGCATCCCAGGGCAGTGAAGAGCGGCCGGGTGTGAGGGCGGCCGTGTCCCAGAACGAATTTCCAACAAATCAAAAGCAGAAGCGAAACCACAGGCCTGCATCAGAGGGGCAGCAGGTCGTGGGAACGGGGTGCAGCTCTGGGGTTGTAAACCACTACCGAATCGTGTGCGTGTGTTGGAGGGGGGTGAGTGGGGGCACGTGGGCCAGGCCACGGCTCCCTCTTCCCGCCTTTCTCTGCTGGCTGCCGTCCCAGGGTCCCCCCCTTCCCTGAGGCATGACCAGCTCTGGGAATTGGGGGGCTTGTGTTCCCGTGACAGCCCAGTGAGAGTCAATGTCTGCGGTTTCAGGCCTCATGCACATGCAAGGCAGGTGGTCTGCCACAAGCCCACCCCACCCTTGGTTGATGTTTTGTCTTTTTTTTGCGGGGGGGAGGGGGTGAGAATCTCTCAGGCAGCACTCAGGGGGCACAAGGGCCCCTCTTGGAGATTCTGCCAGCCACATGCAGGTGTGTTCATGTAAGCGCTGACGGTGTGGCCCACCCAGGGATTGAACTGGGGGCTCTCACCTAACCCTGCACCAGCCCTCACTTTGGGGGTCTCTGAGCTCTAAAGGCAGCCGAGTGCAGAGTCACCGGCCCTTACCTGGGGACAGCCAGGCCAGCAGCTGGAGAGAATGGGAGAGGGATCCTGAGAGCCACCAGCACCTAGGACCTTCCCTCTGTGTAAACACTGGAACCTTCCAATCCCTTCTGGTCAGTTGTCATATACAAACTTCTCTCTTGAACGCTTTTCCTGCCTGTCTGAGAGCTGAGGTGAGATCGACCTTCAGAAACTTTCCTTGGGGGCTGGAGCGACAGCACAGCGGGGAGGGCGTTTTGTGGCTGACCCGGGTTTGGGGTTTTTTTTTTTTTTTGCTTTTTGGGGGGTCACACCCGGCGATGCGCAGGGGTTACTCCTGGCTCCGCGCTCAGGAATTACCCCTGGCGGTGCTCAGGGGACCCTATGGGATGCTGGGAATCGAACCCGGGTCAGCCGCGTGCAAGGCAAACGCCCTACCTGCTCTGCTATTCTGCTATTGCTCCAGCCCCGCTGACCCGGGTTCGATTCCCGGCATCCCATAGGGTGTCCCAAGCACCACCGGGAGTAACTCCTGACTGCAGAGCTAGAAGTAACCCCTGTGCATCGCCGGGTGTGACCCATAAAGAAAAAAAAAAGGAAATTTTCTCTATGAAATAGGAGGTGTTCTTTCCGCTAGTTGGAGCAATAGTGTGAGGCCAACCCGGGTTCAATTCCTCCACCCCTCTCGGAGAGCCCGGCAAGCTAGTAACAACAAGTCTCACAATGGAGACATTACTGGTGCCCGCTCGAGCAAATCGACGAACAACGGGAGGACAGTGCTACAGTGCTCCCTGCCAGCATGGCCCAGAAAGGCTCTTTTCTTCCTCACAGACAAGCAGCCCAGGAGCACCGGGGTCTGAGTGGGGACTTCCTGCCCTCTCCTGCAACACACCAGCGGGGACCGGGAACAGAAAGGGGCTCACCACCCACCCCCCCACCCCCCCAAGGCCTGGGAGCTGAGGGTCTGGTTTCTAACACCAGCTGTGCTGGGACCACACAAGCAAGCAGCACGATACACCCACAAAAGTCAAATGTCTTTATTTTATATAAAAAAAAATTTGTACAGTTTTAGTTCCTAGGTCGACGAAAAAAAAAAAAACTCCCCTAAAATTGCCGTAAGATTTAGATCCACTGCAAACTGTAAAAACAAGCTTTTTTTTTATATATTAAACAAAAACTTTACATTGTACAATTTTTTTTCTACATGCATGCATAAGGTCTCAGCTCTGTAACCCAAAAAAAAAAAAAAGGTGGGTGGGTGGGCCAGGAGGGGTGGGGGACCTAGTGGAAACTACATTTACAATCTCACTTGGAAGGGGTTTGGCAAACCCCTCCCTTTTGGCGCCTACAGCAAATCGCAAACAGTACACGCCGGGACCAATCCATCAGCAGACTCTGCCCCGCAGGAAGGGCAAAGAAGAGAGACAGACGGACGGACGGACAGACAGACAGATGGGGCGGACGGAAGGTCGGAGGGCATGGAGCTCGTCTGGGCCAGCAGAAGAGATGCAGAACCAGGGAGCAGTTTGCCAACGAGGGTCTGGGGTTCCCCAGCCTCAACACAGGGACTGGGGGTACGGGGCATGAGGGGGCAGTGAGAATTGAGGGGCTGAGGGAGGGGCGGGAACGGAGAGGCAGGAGACGGGGGGGGGGGAGGGGGTGTCACCAGCAGGGCAGCGAGGTAGGTAGGGCGGGCAGCTCGTGTCCTGGTGGGGACGGAAGAGCCAGGAGCCAAGTGAGGCTTTGCAAGGCGCAGTGATGGGGTCACAGCCAGAAGGGCGCTGGGCCCAGCCCCCGTGGACGGACAGGATGGGCTCCTGTTCACAGCATGGAAGCGCCCCCCGTGGTCGGGAGGCGGACACCCCAGAACTGGCCCTGGGGCCCCAGCCCTTAGTTGGGAGCAGAAGGGAGGGTCACAGTGATCTAAATCATGGCAGGTTCTTAAAATGGGCCCCAGCTCAGGCCCCTGGCCCTGCTGGGCCTCTCCGGGACACTGAGGTATTGGAGACCAGACCCAGGAGGGCAGCTGTGGACCAGGCCCTGGGAGAAAGAGTCCCCGGCGGCCCCCGGGGAAGGACTGTCCACTCTGTTCCCTCCACACCTCACAGTCCAGTGGGGGAAGGATGGGGTTGGCCTTAGAGGGAGCCCCCAGCCACCAGCCCAAGAGCAAGACTGGCCACCCTGGTGGATGGGTGCCAGAGGGCACCAGAAGGCCGCCCTGGGACCCCAGAAAGCCCCAGCTCAGAGCTGGGGGTCAGCCTCTGGGCACGCCGATAAGGGGGCCAGCCTTGGGGGTACTGCTAGGGGTGTCGGCCTTGAGGGCACGTGAGACGCTGGCGGAACAATCGGCCACCCGGGGACCCAGCTGGAGACTCGGGGCGCTGCCCAGATGTCCCCCCAGCCATCACAACGACACACCACAGACAGAGAAGAAACATCAGGCTCAGATATACGTGGGTGACGGGGTCGGCAGCTGAGACAGGAGGTGAAGACGGGGAGCCAGTGGGGAGGACCCCTCCCCCGGGCAGCGGAGAGGCCCCTCCCCCACTCAGAGGGAGCCCAGCAGTGGGGGAGAGCAAGGAGCCCCCTGAGGCAAAGTGGGCTTAAGGCAGGGGCTGGGGGGAGCGGTGCCCCCCCGTGTACCTGAGGCCACAGGTCTCTGGAGTGGAGGAGGGGATGGCGGCTTGCGGGGTTGGGGAGGAAAATGCTGGTATCGAATGGGAGTATGGGGTCTGCAGAGTCTCCCCCAGGGACCCCCGGCCCAGGACAAAGGGGGGAGGCAGGTTCGGAGGTCTGGTGACGATGGGGGCGTCTCTCCTGCCCCCACAAGGGGCTGCCCAGGGAAAGCCCGCCAAACCCAGGGGCTGCCTCAGTTTACCCACAGTGGCACAGGATGGGAAAGTTCGGAAACAGAATGAGGTCTCGGGGTGAAGGATGAGATCCCCCTGCTCTGAAGGCGTGTGGACTGCCCGCGCCCCCAGAGAACCTTCCAGAGGGGACCCGCTCCCCGCGGGAGTGGCCTGGGGTGCGCGGGTTTGAGAGGGAAGGGGGGGCTTCCGGGGAGAGGCGGGAGGGGCTGATTCAAGTAAAAACGCCGGGAGCAGGAGGTGCCCCGAGCCCCCCCAGGACCCAGGTGCCCCACGGGGTCACACGGACGTCTCCGACTGCAGCCTCATGACGAACTTGTGCGACTTGGGGTCCACGAACTCCTCGGAGAGCTTGAAGAACGGCACCTTCTTGGTGCTGACCACCAGGCTGAAGTCCTGGCGTTTGAGCAGGAACACGAGGCCGTCCTTGAGCCCGCTGGTCACTGGCTCCTCGCTCACCAGCGTCCACTGCTTGGCCAGCCAGCGCTCCTTGTGATACTGGATGGTGGGGCCGGCCGCCAGGTATCGCTCCAGGAAGGCCTGGGGAGGAGTGGTCCATTGCAGGAGGCGCATCGTGGGAGGAGGGGCGGGGCCTCGAGGGGCTGGGACCAATGGGTGGAGGGGTGGAGCTCTAGGGGCGGGGCATCAAGGGAAAGGGGGCGGGGCCTAAAGCAGAAGGCCCTTGAGGATGAGGGCGTGGTTCGAGAGGGCGTGGCTTCAAGGGAGGCGGGGCGGGGCCTTGAGGGGGCTGGGACCAATGGGCGGAGGGGTGGAGCTCTAGGGGCGGGGCATCAAGGAGAAAAGGGCGGGGCCTAAAGCAGAAGGCCCTTGAGGGTGGGGAGTGGCTCGAGAGGGCGTGGCTTCAAGGGAGGAGGGGCGGGGCCTCGAGGGGCTGGGACCAATGGGTGGAGGGGTGGAGCTCTAGGGGCAGAGCATTGCAGGGGTAAGGGGTGGGGCCTAAAGCAGAAGGCCCTTGAGGGTGGGGAGTGGCTCTAGAGGGCGTGGCCTCAAGGGAGGAGGGGCAGGGCCTCGAGGGGCTGGGACCAATGGGTGGAGGGGTGGAGCTCTAGGGGCGGAGCATCAAGGGACAAGGGGCGGGGCCTAAAGCAGAAGGCCCTTGAGGGTGAGGGCGCGGCTCGAGAGGGCGTGGCTTCAAGGGAGGCGGGGCGGGGCCTTGAGGGGGCTGGGACCAATGGGCGGAGGGGTGGAGCTCTAGGGGTGGAACATCAAGGGACAAGGGGCGGGGCCTAAAGCAGAAGGCCCTTGAGGGTGAGGGCTGGTTCGAGAGGGCGTGGCTTCAAGGGAGGCGGGGCGGGGCCTTGAGGGGGCTGGGACCAATGGGCGGAGGGGTGGAGCTCTAGGGGTGGAACATCAAGGGACACGGGGCGGGGCCTAAAGCAGAAGGCCCTTGAGGGTGAGGGCGTGGTTCGAGAGGGCATGGCTTCAAGGGAGGCGGGGCGGGGCCTTGAGGGGGCTGGGACCAATGGGCGGAGGGGTGGAGCTCTAGGGGTGGAACATCAAGGGACAAGGGGCGGGGCCTAAAGCAGAAGGCCCTTGAGGGTGAGGGCATGGTTCGAGAGGGCGTGGCTTCAAGGGAGGCGGGGCGGGGCCTTGAGGGGGCTGGGACCAATGGGTGGAGGGGTGGAGCTCTAGGGGCGGAGCATCAAGGAGAAAAGGGCGGGGCCTAAAGCAGAAGGCCCTTGAGGGTGGGGAGTGGCTCTAGAGGGCGTGGCCTCAAGGGAGGAGGGGCAGGGCCTCGAGGGGCTGGGACCAATGGGTGGAGGGGTGGAGCTCTAGGGGCGGGGCATCAAGGGAAAGGGGGCGGGGCCTAAAGCAGAAGGTCCTTGAGGGTGAGGGCGTGGTTCGAGAGGGCGTGGCTTCAAGGGAGGCGGGGCAGGGCCTTGAGGGGGCTGGGACCAATGGGCGGAGGGGTGGAGCTCTAGGGGTGGAACATCAAGGGACAAGGGGCGGGGCCTAAAGCAGAAGGCCCTTGAGAGTGAGGGCGTGGTTCGAGAGGGCGTGGCTTCAAGTGAGGAGGGGCGGGGCCTCGAGGGACTGGGACCAATGGGTGGAGGGGTGGAGCTCTAGGGGCGCAGCATAAAGGGACAAGGGGCGGGGCCTAAAGCAGAAGGCCCTTGTGGGTGGGGAGTGGCTCGAGAGGGCGTGGCTTCAAGGGAGGAGGGCAGGGCCTCGAGGGACTGGGACCAATGGGTGGAGGGGTGGAGCTCTAGGGGCGGGACATCAAGGGACAAGAGGCGGGGCCTAAAGCAGAAGTCCCTTGAGGGCGAGGGCGTGGCTCGAGAGGGCGTGGCTTCAAGGGAGGAGGGGCGGGGCCTCGAGGGGCTGGGACCAATGGGTGGAGGGGTGGAGCTGTAGGGGCAGAGCATTGCAGGGGTAAGGGGTGGGGCCTAAAGCAGAAGGCCCTTGAGGGTGGGGAGTGGCTCTAGAGGGCGTGGCTTCAAGGGAGGAGGGGCAGGGCCTCATGGGGCTGGGACCAATGGGTGGAGGGATGGAGCCCTAGGGGCGGAGCATAAAGGAACAAGGGGCGGGGCCTAAAGCAGAAGGCCCTTGTGGGTGAGGGCGTGGCTCGAGAGGGCGTGGCTTCAAGGGAGGAGGGGCAGGGCCTCGAGGGGCTGGGACCAATGGGTGGAGGGGTGGAGCTCTACGGGCGGAGCATAAAGGGACAAGGGGCGGGGCCTAAAGCAGAAGGCCCTTGAGGGTGAGGGCGTGGCTCACAAGGGCGTGGCTTCGAAGGAGGAGGGGCGGGGCCTTGAGGGGCTGGGACCAATGGGTGGAGGGGTGAAGCCTAGGGGCGGAGCATCAAGGGACAAGGGGCGGGGCCTAAAGCAGAAGGCCGGTGAGGGTGTGGTTCTAGAGGGCGTGGCTTCAAGGGAAGAGGGGCGGGGCCTTGAGGGGCTGACCAATGGGTGGAGGGGTGGAGCTGTAGGGGCAGAGCATTGCGGGGGGGTAAGGGGCGGGGCCTAAAGCAGAAGGCCCTTAAGAGCAAGGGTGTGGCCTCAAGGGAGCGGAGGGGCGGAGCCTCGGTAGCAGGTGAGCAGGGAGGAGGGGCGGGGCCTGAGGGAGGTGGGGCAGGCCCACCTTGGGTGTCATGTCGTGGGTGATGCAGAACTCCAGGTGCTGCAGGATGCTCTCCATCGTGTGGTACGGCTGCTGCTTGGTGGTGCGCAGGTACTTCTGCATGGCACGGGCCATGGACGCAAAAATGGCCTGGGCAGCCTCCCGGGGATCCATCACCTCCCTGGGGTTCTTCTGCTCTTCCTCCTGCAGCCGCTTGATGTGGGTGAAGGCTTCCTCCACGGCTACCACGAGCCTGGGGACAACAGGTGTGCCTCGTACCTTCCCCAGCTCCAGCCCCCACACTGGGCAAGGCCGGCCCTCTCGCTCCTCTGAGATGGCGCAGAGTCCAAGGCCAAGGGCAGGCATGCGTGTCACCAGGCATGCTTGCACGCATGTGCCTGTGTGTGTGTGTTTGGGTATTCTCACACATTGTGTGTTGAGGGGGGTGGGTCACAGTATCAGACATAGCCTGCCCATCTGTGCAGGACACAAGGCAGGGAAGGTCAGGATACGGGCCTGGAGGAACACCAGGGCACAGGCCACCAAGCACATCTCTGATACAGCTTTAAGGCAGGAACGGGATCATTGCTTCATTTAGAGACTCACAGACTAGGTCCTGGAATCCACCCAAGGGTACCAAAAATGTAGGGGGTCAGATAAGGGGTGGAGAGGAGCCAGGACCTGGGCTGGACACTATAGCAAGACCTGGCCACCACAGCCTTTTCTTTCCTGAGGGACTTTGGTCTCAGTGCAAAGTTTTCTCTGCTCCCCCACACCTCCCCCTCCCACTGATGGGGTAAAGAAGGGCCCTGAGCTGAAGCCCAGGTAGGGCAGGAGGAGGGGCGGGAAGAGACACCTGTGGCTTCATCACTATTTCAGAGACCACCGGGGACAGGCCGGATGACCCACGGACAGGGTATGCACCCCAGAATCTTGAGAAACAGAAAGTTGAGAGGAGAAAGCTCTCTCCTGACACCTGGGGGTAATGCCTGAGGCCTTACCCACCCCCACACAAAGGAATCCCTACAGGGTAGGCTGTAAACTGCCACTTCCGTCATGGGATGAGTAGTGAGCCTCACTTAAGAATTCACCAAAGGGCCAGGGCAATAGTACAGCGGGGAGGGCGTTTGCCTTGCACACGGCTGATCTGGGTTCGATCCCTGGCATCCCATATGGTCCCCCAAGCATCGCCAGGAGTAATTCCTGAGTTCAGAGCCAGGAGTAACCCATGAGTATCTCTGGGTGTGACCCAAAAAGCAAAAAAAAAAAAAAAAGAGTAACGGGGCTGATCCCTGAGCACCTCCCAAAGGAACCCCTAAGGACCACCTAAGGACCTTCAGGAAAAACCATTCAGCAACACCAGGCCCCACAACAAAATACATTAAAAAAAAAAAAAAGAATTCACCAAAGGGTGGGGACCACAGTGGGTAGCGTAGGGTGCTTGCTTTGCACACATCCAATCCAAGTTCAGTTCCCGGAATCCCATATGGTCCCCCTGCTGTCAGAAGTAATTTCTGAGTGCAGAGCCAGTAGTAATCCCTAAACATCATCAGTGTGGCCCAAAACAAACATAATGTCTGACAACAAGAAAAAAGAATTTACCAGGGGGTCAATAGACAGACATTTTACAGGCAAAAGGCTTCCCCTGCAGAACAAGGCCCCAGGATCTGCGATGCATCTCACTAAGTCTCCTGTGCAGCCCAGATGCATCTGTCCAGCCTCATCTGATCCAGCAAATCCCCATCCAGCCCCACCCCTTCCAGCTCTGTTCCGCCCACCCAGCACAGTCCTGCCTAGCCCCGCCCACCCAACAGAGAACCACTAGCCCCGCCCCTTTCAGCCCCGCCCCCTAGCGGTGTCCATCTCCCTTTCCACCCAGCAGTCCTTCCTAGGCCTGTCCACCCAGCATGGTCATCTAGTCCCGCCCCGTAGCCCCTCCCCCAACAGGGCTCATATAGCCCCGCCCACCCCGCAAGCCCATTTGGCTCCTCATAGTCCCACCCACCCTGCAAGCCCCGCCCCTTCTAGCCCCAACCACCCAATGGTCTCCATCTCTCCTTCCACCCAGTTCTTCCTAGCCCCGCCCACCCAACAAGCCCCGCCCCTTAAAGCCCCGCCCACCGAAGATCTCCATCTCTCCTTCCACCCAGTTCTTCCTAGCCCCGCCCACCCAACAAGCCCCGCCCCTTAAAGCCCCGCCCACCGAAGATCTCCATCTCTCCTTCCACCCAGTTCTTCCTAGCCCCGCCCACCCAACAAGCCCCGCCCCTTAAAGCCCCGCCCACCGAAGATCTCCATCTCTCCTTCCACCCAGTTCTTCCTGGCCCCGCCCACCCAACAAGCCCCGCCCCTCAAAGCCCCGCCCACCGAAGATCTCCAACTCTCCTTCCACCCAGTTCTTCCGAGCCCCGCCTCTTTAAGCTCCGCCCCCCAAGCACAGCCCCGCCCCCTCAAGTCCCACCACCTGAAGGTCTACATCTCTCCTTCCACCCAGTTCCTAGCCCCGCCCATCTAACAAGCCCCGCCCCTTAAAGCCACGCCCACCAACGATCTCCAACTCTCCTTCCACCCAGTTCTTCCTAGCCCCACCCCAAGCAGCCCATTTAGCCCCGCCTCTAGTGGTCCCGCCCACCCAGCACAGCCCCTTCCGGCCCCACCCACCCGCCTCCACCTCTCCTTCCCTTCTGCACCCGGCCAGGTCGGTGCCCCCGGACGCACCTGGCCCTGCGCTTCCGCACCCTCCGCTCATGCTCGGCCTCCTCGTAGTAGTACTCGTTGTGGCTGTTGTCCCTCCTCCGGGCAGCGGCTGCGATCACCGCCCGCGACTGGCCAGTGGAGTTGTTGGTGCTGTTCTCTGCAGGGAGGACAAGACGGTCTGGCCACGTGCAGGGCAGGCAGCCTGGCACCTCGGACCCTGCTGCCCCACCCTGACTGCACCCGGGGGTCACTGCGGCGGGCAGGGCAGCGCTGCTGGGGACACCGGGCGGGGCACAGGGAGGACAGGCAGGCGGACAGACAGGGAGGATGAGATGCTCACCCTCTCCCAGGGAGTACACCTTGAAGCCGGACACTTTCTTGGCCAGGACGGACTTGGGGAGGTTGAGGAGGGCAGGGTTGTAGACGGGGAAATCGTGGTAGTACTTCTCCAAGATCCACACGGCCACGCGCTGGATACTGCAGGGAAACGGCAGGGAGACAGATGCACACGAGGGCCGTGACGGGGATAGAGAGGGGACACAGCAGCGCTGGGCAGGGCAGACACGGGGAGAGACGAAGCTTGGGTCTGGGGCAGAGGGAGGGGCTGAAAAGCGGGGTGCAGCTCACTCTGGGCTTAGTGCCTCACCCCAGGCCAGACCTGGGGCCCAGTGGGGGTCCCACCCCACCGACTTTACTCCCTGCCGAAGACCAGGCACGACCTGCCTGCCACTGGGGGCTGGAGAACCTGGGGGCCGCTGAGGCCTCAGGTGCCCCTGTACCCACACCGCTCTCTCTTTCTCCGTCTGTAACCTGTTCATCCTCAGCCTCCCTGCAGCCACCCCCACCCCATCGAGCCAAGGACCCTTCCAGCAAGCAGCAAATGGTGATGCAAATCCGCTCTCTAGGGCTGGAGCAATAGCACAGCGGGGAGGGCGTTTGCCTTGCATGCGGCCAACCCGGGTTCGATTCCCAGCATCCCATAGGGTCCCCTGAGCACCGCCAGGAGTGATTCCTGAGTGCAGCGCCAGGAGGAACCCCTGTGCATCGCCAGGTGTGGCCCAAAAAGCAAAAAAAAAAAAAGTTCTTTATAGAGGAAGGCCCCCTCTGCCCAATGCCCTCCCCTCCAGTCCCCCAGTCCCCCGGCATCTCCGCATCTCCTCCTTATCACCCATTCCCCAGCTCCGGCCCCTGGCCCTGGGCCCTGGCTGCCGAGACCCCCACCCACCCCCACTCCGCCCACACCCCGGCTCTGCCCGCACCTGAGATGGCCCACGTTGTAGAAGCGGCTGGCGCCGTCGGTGGAGCGCACCACCTTGAGCGTGAAGTGCGGCTGCAGCTGGCGCAGCTCCAGCAGGACCACGGCCAGGTAGTGCACGAAGAGCAGCGCGTCCACCAGCGACACGGCGAACTGCACGACGCCCTGGTAGCTGCGCTCGCGCGCGTCCAGGATGCGGACGCCGTAGAAGAGCCAGTAGGAGGCCACGAGCAGGAAGACCAGCACCATGAGCAGCGCGCGCAGGACCACGACGCGTGGGAGCGCGGCGCGCGGCCGCCGGCAGAAGAGCGCCCAGCTGCCCAGCAGCAGGATGAGCAGCTTGAAGGCCACGGAGATGAAGAGGCCCTCGCAGGCCGCCCCGCACGGCTCCAGCTCGTCCCGCCACAGCAGCGGGGGCAGCAGCAGGAAGGCCAGCGGCGTCAGGAAGGACAGCAGCGCCAGCGCGGCGCCCGCCGCCACGCCCAGGTGGCGTGAGCAGTCCAGCGGCACGCCGTCCTCCATGTCCTTGGCGATGCGCGTGAGGTCATCGTGGGAGATGCTGTGCTCCGAGGTGCCGGTCACCACGGTGGTCGTCTCGCCCCAGTTGTCGTCCTGCGGGCCGGAGGACGGAGGGTGTCGCCGTCGTGGTCGGGGCCTGAGCCAACCCCTGCGGGGGTTCCTGACCCAACCCTCAGGGGTGGGCTTCAGACCCAGGCCAGCCCCGGCCACGCAGGCTCAGGGGCCAGGTGATGGACAGGGCCAGACCGGACCTCCAACCCGGCTCCGCCCCCAGGAAGTGGCCGTGGGGCGGGCAGAGCAGTTCCCGTGGTGCCCAGTTCTGCCCGTGGGCTCCCCGGCGGTCTTGGTGACTGCAGGCTGGGCTCAGAGCAGGCGGGAGACGCAGCCTCTCAGAGGCACCCAGGCTCCAGAGCCAGACCCCCAGGACCCCACTCGGGGGGCCCATCCGCCTTCCCCTCCTTCCTCGAGGGCCCCAGTGGACGGAGGAGCCCACTGGCTGCCCCTCCTCCCGTGCACTGCCCAGACAGTGCCGCGTCTGGGCCCCCACACTCACCCGCTCATCCCCCCGTGTGGACTCATTGTCCAGCAGTGGCTCCCCAGGGGCCTGGATGGTCACCGACTTGTCCCCGCGGCTCCCGTCCCGGCTCTTGGAGCGGTGGCGGTCTCGGCGGTCCCTGGGGAGGGGCAGGGGCAGGTCAGCCCAAAGGTGCCCATCCCGTCCTACATGCAGCAATCCTGTGCCCACCTGCATTCACTGTGCCCATCTGCATCTACCTGTGCTCACCTGTGCCCACCTGTGCTTGTATATGCCACCTGTACCACCTGTGCCCACCTGTATCTGTGCCCACCTGTGCCTGTCTATAGGAACCTATGCCTGTATATGTCACCTGCACCACCTGTGCCCACCTGTGCCCACCTGTGCCCACCTGTATCCAGGTGTGCCCACCTATGCCTAGTCATGTATGCCTGTCTGCCTATGCCCCCTGCTGCACCTGTGCCCTTCCCCGGTGCCATCTGTGCCCACCCGTGCCCACCTGTGCTTGCGGGAGCCGCGGGAGTGGGCCGACTTGTACGAGTAGCCCGAGTACTGGGACTCGGTGTCCATGGCGTCGGAGCGCCGGGCCTTGTAGCGCTCCAGGGCCGCGGCTGGGGGCCTCCCGGGGGGCCCCACGGGCACCTCCTTCAGCGCAGGCTTCCGCAGGCCAAGGGGCACCTTCAGGAACTCCACCGGCACCCGGAGGGTCTCTATCTTGCTGGATGGGCGGGCTCAGCTCAGAGAGAAAACAGCGAGGGTCCTGGAGAGAGAAGCGGCGAGACGCCGAGTCCAGGGGGGGCACTGAGCTCGTGGGGTGTGGGGGTCAGGCAGGGAAGCCCCCACCCTGAGCAGGCATGGTCCTCCCAGATGCCGCCGGCCTTTGGAAGAGCACCCGAGGCTGTGCCAAGGGCTCAGGGGCAGGTGACGCCCAGGGACCCAGCCCCAGAGGCTGAAGGAGCACTGGATACCGTGTCTTCCAGCAGTCACATGCCCCAGAGAGGCTGGACGGGAGGGAGGACAGGGCCAGCGGCAGGCTGGACGGGGGGTCAGTAAAGTGTGCACTGCTCACTGCACTCACCAGCCCCCAGCGACGGGGAGTCTGCCCCCCTGGCATCAGCACAGGCGAGGGATGGAGGAAGGGAACGAGCCTGCAACAAGCAGCCCTGATGGCAGGGGTGCAGGGGCAGGTGGAAACGAGATGAAGGTTCTAGCAGCAGGTGCAAAGTGCACTCCCGAGGTGGGCAAGGAGGTGGGCACCTGGGAGAGGCCAGGAAGTGTGCACGGGGTGCACGGGGCTGTCCACCTGGGGTACATACACTCGTCCGTGCCTACCCATGCTCACACAGGCACGCGGGCGTATGAGCGCATGCGTGCAGACTCACGCCCACGCCCCTTCACCACCACCACCTCAAACACCCAGAGCAAGTCTGTGCCAGTCCGGTGCCCTGCTGTCCCCCACCTTCCAAAGCTGCCCCTGTCCTCCGTCGGCCAAAGCTAAGGAGGCCTGGGGCCGGAGCGATAGCACAGCGGGGAGGGCATTGGCCTTGCACGCGGCCGACCCGGGTTCGATTCCCAGCATCCCATAGAGTCCCCCAAGCACTGCCAGGAGTGAGCCTTGAGCATCACTTGGGTGTGACCCAAAAAGCAAAAAAAAAAAAAAAAAAAAAGGATGCCCTCTCGCTGTGACCCCTGTGACCCAGGCAGTTGGGGAGGGGTGGTGGACATCCCAAGAAGGTCCCCCTCTCTCTGGGCTGTCGGGAGGCTGCAGGGGCGGGGTGGGGAGGGGGTGCGTGCTTCCTGCCTCGCCCCCTGGGACACAGACACCCCGTGGCTCCCCGGCTGGAACCCACCATGGAGTGTGTGGGGTTAAAAGGCGGCCAGCGGCCCCGGGGTGGGGGGAGAGCCCGAGGAGAAGGGGGCCCGGCTCCCCCAAAGCCTTTCAGACACGAAATTAATGGCATGTGCCTCGGAGATGATCCCGCACGGTTGCAGGAGGCCAAGCCGGCCTGGGGGGAGCCTTTGTCCGGCTGCCCAACTTCACCGGCATTGATCGTCATGGCAACCCCAGCCCCCGGTTGCCTAGGCGATGACAGCCACCGGGTCCTGGAACCCGTCCCCAGCATCCACCGCGAGGTCAGGGAGGTTGGGGGTGAGGGACGTGGGGACAGGACGGGCTCTCGGCGGGGGCCCCCAGCTTTTGTCCGAGTGTGAGATCAGGTTTCTGCAGGAAACAATCGCGGCTCCGAGAAGCCAGTGGGAACCTGGCAACAGGCGGACTGGGGGGTGGGGCCGGGAGCCGGCTGGAAGCACAGCCCAGGGCCTTCCCACGGTTGCTCAGGTGGTCAGCCGGGGCGGGCACCCGCAGGGCTGGGGCGGGGCGCTCAGGCCGCGCCAGGCTTCTGGGGCCGAGGGAGAGGGGGCGGGACCTCCCCCGAGCACGCGACATCTCACAGGGCGCAGGTGAGGGTCAGTGTGACCCAAAAAGCCAAAAAGGAAACAAAAACAAAACAAACCAAGGGGCTGGAGCAATAGCACAGCAGGGAGGGCGCTTGCCTTGCACACGGCCAACCCGGGTTCGATTCCCAGCATCCCATAGGGTCCCCCGAGCACCGCCAGGAGTGGTCCCTGAGTGCAGAGCCAGGAGGAACCCGTGTGCATCGCCAGGCGTGACCCAAATAGCCAAAATAAGTAACAAGTATCAAGTAACAGTATAACAAGTCTCCATCCTGAGACTTGTTGTTACTGTGTTTGCCATATCCGATACATCACGGGGAGCTTGCCAGGCTTTGCCGTGTGGAGTGAGATGCTCTCGGTAGCTTGCCGGGCTCTCTGAGAGGGGCGGAGGAATCGAACCCGGCTCTGCCAGGCCGGCTGCGCACAAGGCAAGCGCCCTACCGCTGTCAGGAGCAGCTGGAGTAAATGCAGGTGGCAGGACCACTGCCGGGCCTCTGTACCCCTCAACAACTGACCCAGGTGTGCAAGGGCTGCTGGGCCCTGTGGCCAGGAGAGCATCCAGGAAGGAGGGTCCCAGCATCCCTTCAGAGTGAGCAAGACCGGGACGAGAGCATGGCCAGTGCCCCCTGGCATCCCTCATCCGCCGGAACTCGGGTGCAGGGAGCCCGGGCCAGGCAGGCACCTGGGCACTGGTGCCCAGGCCGCCGGGAGGGGTGTAGTGGGCGGGCACAGCCGGCGCCAGGAGCCCGCCCGCGCCTGCAGCCGGGCCTGCCCGGGGCCGCCAGACGTGAGCTCAGCGCCCGGCTGGGGCCAGGAACGGGCTTCTCACCAGTGGGCCAGCGGGGGCAGGCGGGACCCCAGCTCAGCCCTCAGCTGCCCCCGGACCCCCAGCTCGCATGGTGGCCCTTTAAGGGTCAAACTGGAGTCACCTGCTTTCCTCATCGGCCTGGTCCCAGACGGGGTGAGGCCGGGCCTCTTCCAAACACACATACACACACACACACACACACACACAGGGGCACACACGGACACACGTGGGCACAGGGCACACACGCGGGGCACCCACATGTGCACACGTGGTCTCTGGGCCCAGACAGGCTCACGCCGCCCTCCTCCCCGTCCACCCCCCACCCCCCCCCAGCTGCGCCTGCGGCCGGCTGGGCAGGTTCTGGGATGACAGATCCCTGCCTGCTCTGCCGGGCACCCCACCCAGCGCTGAGGAGCAAGGATCCCCGCCCCACCCCCACACACACCGGCACGGGCTCCCAGCCTCCCCCAGACCCAGACGGAGCAGGGGCGGGGTGTGGAGGGCAAGGCGGGCCCTGGGCACCGGCAGGGGTGGAGGCGCGCCCCTGGGCCCTGTTTCGCTGGGGGATCCGGACCCAGGCTCAGGGCACCCCGGAGCCCGGCGCTGGCCACCCCACCTCCAGACACGCAGACAGAAGGCACCTGGGGCAGGGGGGCCTGGGGAGGGCAGCTGTGTCCCCACCCGCCCCTGCAGCCCAAGGCCTTCTTCACAGTCTGTCTCCGGTGTGTGTGTGGGGGGTGGTGCTGTGCCCCACTATGGCCTGGACATGTCAGAGCTGCCATGACTGGGGGAAGGAGTGAGAGCACAGCTGGGAGCACGGGGGAAGGGAGGGGACATGAGTGGGAGCACCAGGGGGAGCACGAGGGGAGCACCAGGGATCATGGTTGGGAGCACCAGGGGAGCATGAGGGTGGGACACTAGGGAGCATGGGTGGGAGAGCACCTGGGGGGGAAATAGGTGGGAGCACCAGGGAGCATGGGCGGGAGCACCAGGGAGCATGAGTGGGAGCACCAGGGAGCACGAGTGGGAGCACCAAGAAGCACCAGGGAGCATGGGTGGGAGCACCAAGAAGCACGGGTGGGAGCACCAAGGAGCACGAGCAGGAGCACGGGCGGGAGCACCAGGGAGCACGGGTGGGAGCACAGGTGGGAGCACCAGGGAGCACGGGTGGGAGCATGGGTGGGAGCACCAAGGAGCATGGGTGGGAGCACGAATGGGAGCATCAGGGAGCACAGCTGGGAGCACCAGGGAGCACGGGTGGGAGCACAGGTGGGAGCACCAGGGAGCACGGGTGGGAGCATGGGTGGGAGCACCAAGGACCATGGGTGGGAGCACGAATGGGAGCATCAGGGAGCACAGCTGGGAGCACCAGGGAGCACGGGTGAAGCAGCAGGGGAAGTGAGGGGTAGAGGCAGCCTGCAGATCACAGGGTGGGGAGGGCAGGGGGCACCAGGGCTCAGGTTCTGAAAGCCCCCCCACCCCCGCCCCACTGGCCCCAGCCTCAGCTCATGCCTGAAAAGCAAGTCCGAGAGAGGCCGGAGAAGGACGTCTCCAGAGTGGCCACTGCCCCCCCATCATCTCCATTCTGGGGTGAACCAGGACTGGCTGCCCCAGGCCCTGCCCCAGGCCCTGCTCCTGTGCTCCAGGTGTAAATCCCCCAGACCTGGACAGCGCCCCAGGGCAGGGACCCCCACACCAACCTGGGACCCAGGAACCAAATGCACCCCAGTAGGGAAGGGGCCATTCCTGGGGTTCTGGGGCCCTCAAGGGCCCCCAGCACGCATTTCCAGGCCCATAAAATGGGCGTGAATACATACACACATAAAAACTAGATACACACATGCACACACACTCAGACACACACACGCAAGCACAAAGACACACGCACACTCACATGCACACACACACTCACGCACACACAGACATGCACACAAATTCAGACACACACTCAATCACGCACAAGCACACAGACACACACGCAAGCACACAGACACACACACACGTACACATTCACAGGCGCGCACACACACCCACACAGATGTGCACACACTCAAACACATGCACACACACTCACAAAGACACACAAGCACACACGTTCAGACACACACTCAAAAACACACACATACCTCATGTACACACACACGCACACACTAGCAGACACACACACACGATGGGCATGACTTGGCAAGGTTCAGCTTCTAACCAAATCGCATCTTTCTCACGCAGACCCCCGAAAATGCTAGGGCTCACCCCCCTCCTCCTCCTGAGACCGCACCCTCCCTCCCTGCCCCCGGAACCCCCCTGGAAACCCCCCTGGAATACGCCGGAATCTCAGCCCGGGCTCAGTGTGATGCCCATGACTACGCCCCATTCAGGCCCCAGGCTGAGGCTGAGGCGAGTCTCTCCAGGGGGGCCCTGGTCCCCCAGCCCCGTCCTCCCGCTGCACCTGACAACCAGGCCAGGCCCTCCCTGCCCCCCACCCCCGCCTCGCTCCCAGGCCCCACCCTGATGCCAGGGTACCCCAGATTCCGCAGGCCCCCATCTCCCGAGCCGTTCCCAGCGGCCACACCTGTAATTACTCGTCTCGTGGGGCTCCGAGCAGTTCTAACTGCTCATTTCCAGGGGCCCCTGCAGGCGGTCGGGTGGGGCCCAGGGCTGAGGTTCTCCGGCCGGAACCAGCTGTGCCCCAGACCACAGCAGAACCGGACAAGGCGCCCCGGGGGCTCAGGCGTGCGGGCGACCTGTCCCAGGTGTGTCCCCTGTTCTGCCATCACTTTCTCCCCGTGAGCAAGGCTGCCCCCTGCAGGAACTTGAGAGTAGAGCGGGGGGAGGGGGCTCAGGACCAGGCCTGCGGGGGCGCCACGTGTGTGTGTGTGTGGGGGGGGGGCTGTGCCCATGACAAAGCTGCCAGGGAAGAACAGTGCCACGCAAAATGCCACCATCCTGGGCCCAGCACCTCTGTGCCAGGCCCGGGCTTCCTGACGTCCCTGACAATTCCCACTCTGTTCTTCAAACATGGGGTCACCCAGCCTCACTCTGACGCTCTCCCGGCCCTGCCCGCCCACCCCCAAACTCCTGACCTGGCCCCCTCAGTCACGCCCAGCGGCCAGGACACAGATGGATGGACAGATGGGCAGATGGGAAGAGGGAAGGATGGCTGATGGCTGGCTGGATGGGTGATGGAAGGAAGGAAGGATGGATGGATGGATGGATGGATGGATGGATGAATGGGACGGGAGGATGGATGGGAGGATGGATGGATGGATGGGTGGATGGATGGATGGGTGATGGATGGATGGATGGATGGATAAATGGGATGGGAGGATGGATGGGAGAATGGATGGATGGGTGGATGGATAAATGGGATGGGAGGATGGATGGATGGATGGATGGATGGGTGGATGGATGGGTGGATAGATAAATGGATGGATGGGAGGATGGATGGGTGGATGGATAAATGGATGGATGGGAGGATGGATGGGAGGATGGATGGGAGGATGGATGGATGGATGGATGGATGGGTGGATGGATGGGTGGATGGATAAATGGATGGATGGGAGGATGGGAGGATGGATGGATGGATGGATGGATGGATAAATGGATGGATGGGAGGATGGATGGATGGATGGTGGGTGGATGGATGGATGGTGGGTGGATGGATGGATGAATGGGAGGATGGATGGATGGGAGGATGGATGGATGGGAGGATGGATGGGAGGATGAATGGATGGATGGGAGGATGGATGGATGGATGGATGGGTGGATGGATGGGTGGATGGATGGGTGGATGGATAAATGGATGGATGGGAGGATGGATGGGTGAATGGATGGATGGGTGGATGGGTGGATGGACAAATGGATGGATGGGAGGATGGATGGTGGGTGGATGGATGGATGAATGGGAGGATGGATGGATGAACTGGAGGATGGATGGATGGGAGGATGGATGGATGGATGCATGGATGGATGGATGGATGGGTGGATGGGTGGGTGATGGATGGAAAGAACAGCAAGATAGATGAGTGAAAGACAGAAAGATGGGTAGAGGGGGGTGGACAAGCTCTCCAGGAGACAGGTGGACCACGCGGCCCAAAGGGAAGCCAGCCCCCAGGCCTGCGACCCTCATCGCTGGAGAAGCAGGAAGTGGGTCAAGGGCAGCACCTTGGTCCCTCTGGGCCGAGGACAACGGCTCCCGAGAGAAGGGGCGTCCCCAGCACAGGGCTCAGCTGCCCCGCCGCTCACCCCGCACTGAGGGTCTGACCCCCGTTCTTAAGGGTCCAGCTCTGGGCAGAGCTCCCAGACACCCCCCGGGGTGAGCCCTGCCCGCCCCAGGGCACTGGGGCCAGGGCACCCCTGTGCTCACATGCCCGAGACCCCACGCCCTCCTGCACCTCAGACCCCGCATACAGAAGGTTCCCCCAGGTCCCGGAGACGGTGCTGGGGTGCAGCCACACCTGAGGGGTGCCCCGGGCAGGCCGGCCCGTGTGAAATGTCCCGTCTGCCTCGCGGTCCATTGAACTGTCGCCACCACGCACCCGGTCTGTCATTAACTCCCGTTTACGGGGAGACTTCAAACGTTATCTCCTGTCTGAGGTCACAGCGCCAGAATCAAAGGATGCGGCACCCTGCGAGGGGGCGTGGGGGGTTCCCAGCCTGGCCATGCCCACCACCCGGGCACCGACACGTGTACGCCCGGGCCCCTAAAGAGCACAGAGCCGCAGACAGGGTGGGCAGCAGCGAGGGGCGCCGGAAGCCCGCAGACCTGGAGGGGCTTCCTGCAGCTCTGGGCTCTTGCCCCCAAGCTTGTCCCCACGTCCAAGCCTGCAGCAGTGAATCAGGGGAGAGCCCCGAGGGGGGCAGACAAGGGCGGGCCCTGGGCTGTTGGTGGTCTCTGTGGACGGATGGATGGGGACAAGATCCCTGCATTCCCGCCCTCCCCCCAACCCTGGCGGCCCCTCCCCCTCCACGGAAGCCCAATCGGAGGACACTGAGCACAGCCTCGGCCCTAAAACGGGGCTGTCCACCCCACCTCTGGCTGCAAAAGGAAGATGCCTGAGTGAAGGGGTGCCGGGACCCCAAAAGAGACAGAACAGATGTGGGAGAGAGGCTGCGGACCCCTGGGGTACTGAACCCCCCCATGTCTATCCAGGGCAGACACCCTTTTGCCCCCCCCAGGTCTGGAGCCCCGTGCACACAGGTCTGGGATGAGACTCACCCATCCCCCCCAGACCCATTCTCCCCCAGAATTGGAGTTGTTGCCCTTAAGTGCCAACCCCCATTCCAGTCCCCCCCAACCCCCCCACTGAGGTGGTCCTGAGGCAGCCTGGGGTGAGGGGTACTTACAGTCTCCGCTCCTCCAGCCTCCACTTCCTCTGAGGCTCCTGGGCACACACACCCCCTTTTCTCGAAACCCCCATCTCCCAAGCAGGCCGGCAGAAGCCGCCCGCCCGCGCACCCCACCCCTCCTCGGGGCCTGAGGCCATAAGCCGGCACCCTGGGTCCCAGGCAGGCCCATCCACGCGGCGGGACGCCCCCAAACCTACTCGGAATCCCACCCTCCCGCCCCCCGAACCCCGCTGCAGCGGCACGCCTGGGGCGCCCCACCCACCCCTGGGCCACACAGGTGCGTCCCTACCTGGGTAGGCCCCGTTCCGGCGCCCTCCACGGCCCGTAGAGAGCGTCCCCTGGGCCAGGCCCACCCGCACGGCCCCGCAGCAGGACCGGGACCCCTCGCGCGCGGGCCCACCCGCACCGACCCCGCGGCGCGCCCGGGACCCCTCGCGCGCGGGCCCACCTGCACGGCCCCGCAGCGCGCCCGGGCTCGCACGCACCAAAACAAAGGCGCCCGCCCGGGCCCCCGGGGCCGCCCCCTCCCCAAGGCGCGGGTGCGCGGCCACCTCCGGGGGTCCCGGGGCCAGCAGAGGGGCGGCGGGACGCGGCGCGGATCCCCGATGCCCCTCACACACCCCCTGCGCCCGGCCTCGGCCCCCGCCCCGCTCTCCCGCGCGCCCCGAGCCCGCGCGCGCGCGCCCCGCGCGCGGGGGGCGCACGCACCCCGGGACCACCCGCACCCGCCCCCCCCGGTGCCGCCCGCCTCCCGCTCCCCCGGGATGCGCCCGGCCTGGCCCCCCGCGCCCGGCCCAGGAAAGTCCCCGGCGCGCCAGGCCCGGCTCCGCCCCCTCCCCAAAGTCGGGGCTGCGCGCCCCGCCGCGCCCGCCCGCCCCGAGCGGGGGTCCCCGCCGCCCCCGCGCGCCCCCCGCGCGCCCCCCGGCCGCCCGCCCCGCGCGCCCCCCGCACTCACCGACCCCGCCGCGGCCGCCTTTGTATCCGGCCGCTCCGGGCGGGCGGGCGGGCGCGCACCGCGCCGGCTCCGCGCCCCTCGCGTCCGCGCGCTGCTCTGCGCCTCGGGGGGCCCCGGCGCGGGGGGCCGGCGGGCCGCTCAGGCTCCCATGGCGGGACCGAACCGGGAACCGCGGACCCGAGCCAGACCGGCGGCGGGGGAGGGGAGGGGAGGGGAGGGGCGCGGGGCGGGCGCACCCCGGGCACCGCCCCCGGCCGTGCCCGCTACCCCGCCCCCGCCGGGGCTATTGTCTGCGCGGCTCCGCCCCGCGCCGCCCCCCGGGCCAGCCTCTCGCCCCGGCTGCACCCGGGCCGGCCCGCCGGCGCCCCCCGCCCGCCCCGCGACCACCCGGAGCCCCCCCGGACGCCCAGCCCGCGCGCCCTCCTGCTCTTCGGCCGCCCCCCGCGTCCGGCCGGACCCTCACCCCGCTGCGGACCTCCTTGCAGGCTGCGACCCCCGCCTCCCCACGCCTCCAGCCCGCTCTGGGGCATCGCCCGGGCCTGGGTGGGCGCTCGGCTGCCCCCCTGCGCCCCACGTGGGCTCCAGGAAGCCCCTGTGGAGATTGGGGGACCCCTCCCCTCCGCGCCCCAGGCCCCGGAGGAAGGCCCGGCTCTGATTTTAATTAGCACGCGAGACCCTCCCGCTTCTTCTACGCAGGGGATTTCCCGACACCCCGTCCCAGGCAACGCCCCCCCACCCCATAATTAAATTACTCGGCGCTCGGCCGCCCCGGGCTCTCCTCATTAGCACCCTGAAACCCTCCTCATTAGCGCGCACCCCCTTTGGGGCTCCGAGATTAATTACAAAGGGAGGCCTGCCCTGGGGAGAGAGGAGGGGTCCGCTGCCTGGGAGAGCCCAGGGCACAGCAGAGCCTGCGCCCCTAAATAGCCCGGGCGGGGGTTTGGGGGGGAGGCAGGGACTTGGGGTGCCCAGATCCTGGGGTATGGTAGCCAATGCGCCCGGATCATTAAGGCCTTTCTGCCTCAGAGCAGCCAAAAGAAAAAAGAAAAAAACAATTCTTGGGGTGGAGGGGAGAAGGAAGCTGGGAATATTACAGCAGGGAAAGAAGGAACTCACCTAGCACCGGGATAACCTGGGTTCGATTTCCAGCATCCTCTGTGGTCCCCCAAGGCTGGCCCGGAGTGACCTCTGAGCTCTGAGCTGGGTTATAGAAATGGAGGCTCAGCGCCAGCAAGGGCAGCTGGGCTGGGGGGTGCTGGGCTTCATGCAGCCTAGAAAAAGAACCCATTGGGGTGGAGAGATAGCACAGCGGGGAGGGCGTTTGCCTTGCACGCGGCCGACCCGGGTTCGATCCCCAGCACCCCATAGGGTCCCCTGAGCACCGCCCCAGGAGTAATTCCTGAGTGCAAAGCCAGGAGGAACCCCAGAGCATCGCCGGGCGTGACCCAAAAAGGAAAAAAAAAGAAAGAAAAAGAAAAGAAAAAAGAGGGCTGGAGCAATATTACAGCGGGGTGGGCGTTTGCCTTGCACGTGGCTGATCTGGGTTCAATCCGCAGCACCCCATAGGGTCCCCTGAGCACTGCCAGGAGTGATTCCTGAGTGAAGAGCCAGGGGTAACCCCTGTGCATCACTGGGCGTGACCCAAAAAGAAAAAAAAAAAGAAAGAGAACTCATTTCTCACTGTTTTCATTTTTGGCAAGGGTTGGGGGGGTCACACCTGGCAAGGCCAGGTTACTCCTGGCTCTGCACTCAGGAATTTCTCCTGACAGTGCTCAGGGGAGCCTATGAGATGCCAGGGATCAAACCCTGGTTGGTGTTTCTTCTCCTGTTCACTCCTTTGTTTATTTTATTTTATTATCATTTTTTTTTTTTTGCTTTTCTGGGTCACACCCGGTGATGCTCAAGGGTTACTCCTGGCTTTGCACTCAGGAATCATTCCTGGTAGTGCTCAGGGGACCCTATGGGATGCTGGGGATCGAACCCAGGTTGGCCGCATGCAAGGCAAACGCCCTCCCCGCTGAGTTGTCGCTCCAGCCCCCTTTCACTCCTTTGACATGGGGATATTGACCGCTGGACACAGACCCGAGGGCCCAGCCTGGGCCTTCCCTTCCCTGGGGGATCTGTGGAGCTTTCCAGATGTGCTGACGGGGGGGGGGGGGGGGGGGGGCGGGGGGGATTGGAGCAATAGCACAGTGGATAGAGCCTTTTTGCCTTGCACTCGGCCGACCCTGGTTCGATTCCCAGCATCCCATAGGGTCCCCTGAACACCACCGGGAGTGATTCCTGAGTGCAGAGCTAGGAGGAACCCCTGTGCATCGCCAGGTGTGACCCGAAAAGAAAACAAAACAAAACAAGAAAAACAAGCAGATGTGCTCGAGGATGAGAATTGGGCTCCTGGCACTGCTTAGGTCCAAGGAGCAGACCCTCAAGACACAAACGCCTCAAAGCCTGGAAGATTCCGCCTGTCTCCAGAGCCAGACCCCACCGAGAGCGCCCCACCCCCGGTGTGGACGGGGCAGCAGGAGGTGGGGACTGGGGTGGCCCCCTACTGTGAAGGGGCTCCCACTTGTCCTGAGGGTCCTGAGGGTCACAGTCCCTCACCCGCACATACCCACCCCCAGCTTCTAGGGAGAGCACCCCCCGCCCCCAGGCTGAACAGAGCCCCCCACCCCACCCACGGCCCTCCACGCAGAAGCCTTTCCTGCCCTCCTGGCCACGTCCCCGCCCTCCGGTCCACCGTCTACACAGCCCCCTGCAATTACAGCCGGCCGTCAGCCGGGGCCTGCAGATTTAATCACCTGGGAAGCCGGGCAGCCGCCCAGGCCCTCTCCACCCCCGCAGCCCAGACTTCCGGGGCGGGGACTGTCCCCCGCTTAGGGCATCCAGCTGTCCACTGCACTTCCCGGGGTCCCGTCCTGTGTCCTGTCCCTGCAGGTGGGCCCCAAGGTCCCATCTTGCCACCTGCGGTGGGCGCCCGGACCCCCACCGCCCACCCCTGCTCGAGTCACAACAAAACCAAAGCTTAGCCGCGTGGGCTCCGGCCACTTCACTAGGGCAGTGGGTCGCGGAGGGTCCCTGGGAGGAGGCCAGAGGCCGCCCCAGACCAGCTGCGGGTCAGCGGCAGAACAGAGCCCAGTGCTCGCCCTGGCGAGAACGGTCCTGTCCTTTCCTGCTGCCCCCGGCCAGGACGCCCTGTCATGGCAAGTGGCGGTCAGCAGAGGGCAGCATTCACGCAGCTGTGACCTGCAGCTGCCCGGCCAAGACCTGAGCAGGAAGCCCTTCACTGTCCTGCTGGCCACGCTGCCTGTGTCCACACTGCCTAATTCACTCGGGTTCCTTCCATCCACACTGCCTCCGTCCACACTGCCTGCGTCCACGCTGCCTCCGTCCACACTGCCTGCGTCCACGCTGCCTCCGTCCACATTCCCTGTGTCCACGTTCCCTGTGTCCACGTTCCCTCCATCCGTCCACTCTGTCCCCTCCTGCGGGGGCTCTCCTGCGGGCTCCCCAAGGCCCCTCAACCTCCCTCTCTCCTGGGTTCCAGATGCTGAGGGTGGTCAGGGCAGCTGAGGGTGAGGAGAGGGGGGTCAGCTCCTGGCCCTTGGGGAGGGGTCGTCTGGCCCAGGTCTGGGGACCAGGGAAGCAGGGGCTGGAGGGGACTGGGGACTTTGAGGGCCGAGCCCAGGCCCCGGTGAGCCGGCCCCTCCCTCGCCCACGCTGGGCTGGGGGGGCTGAGTCGTCCCTCACTCCCCCTCCCGCTCCGTCCTCTGCTGCTGTGCAGTGAGGCCAATCGATTATCTGAAGAAATTTGGAGCTGGCAGCAGACCAGCTGCCTGTCCCCTCCCCCAGGCCCCCGGGGACCCTGGGCAGAGGGCCTGTCGGTCACCTCTGCCTTTCGAGGGACGGACCCCCGCACCCAGCTGCCTGCCTGGCCCGCCTTGTCTCTCCATAGCCCGCCACCCCCCGTCAGGCCTGTCCTGGTCACATCTGCTCTAATTCCTAAGGGAAAGGCAGGGAGTCCCCCCCTCCATCCCGGGCCCTGACCTGAAGGGGCGGCCAGGGGGGCTCGGGGGGCTGCCGCCACGTGCGGGGGTCTCTGGGCCAGACCCCTCCCTGGGCTCAGCCCTGCTGCCAAGAGCAGCTGCTTCCTCCCCTCCTCTCTCTCTGCCCTGGGGGCCCCCAGACCCATTCAGGTGGGTGTGTATTCAGGGGGTCCACACCCCCAGCCAGACACGGGCTCTGTCTGCGGGGTCCTGCCCGGAGGGGCCAGAGACCCTCTTTCTTCTCTGCCCAGTTCTCTCCTTTGCAGCCAGATGGAGGCAGCGAGGGGCCGGGGTGTGTCACTGGGCTCCGTCCCCAGAGCCCCAGAAAAGATCAGAGTCACAAGAGCATGAATCAGTGCTTGGGGGGTGCCCTGGGGCGCCCAGAGGCCCCTCGGCACCAAACTTTATTTTTCTCCCTCTGCTGCCCGCATGCTCTCCCAAGACCCCAGGTTTGGGGGCTGAGAACCGAGACGCGGGGGTTCTGTTCTGGCTCCGACTTGAGGACAGGCTCTGGGCAGGAGAGGGGGGTCCCCGCGCTTGGGGGGGGTCCCCAGGCTGGCACCTTCGGCTTGTTCTCAGGCCTGGGGGCGGCAGCAACAGGAAGACGAGCCCCTGTGTCTGCCGTCTCGTCCCATCACAGAGCCCACGACCCCACTAGCCCACAGCCCGGACTGCCAAGGGCCACCTCAGCCCCTCGGGTGTCAAGCTCAGTTCAGCGAGACCCCCCGAGGGCCTGGCTTTGGGGGTGCCATGAGGTGGGGGAGAGAAGTAGGAGGGGCCCGGGGGGGATTATTTGGGAGCTGAGGACAGACACAGGCTCAGGCAGGGGGTAGGACACCCCCCTCCCCCCGACACACACACACGTCCAGCGGGAGAGACGTGGATAAGTGGAGCCCCAGAACCCAAAGCGAGGAGCGGTCTGGGCAGGACCAAAGTGCGCAGAGCTCAGCAATAAATAGTGATTCTCAAATAAATAACGTGAATAAATACGGGATGAATAAATAAACACACAGACGCCCGCCCTGGCAGGGCTAGGAATGGGGGGAGGGGTGGCGGCCCGTGACAGGCTGAGCCCGGAGACTCGGGAAGCAGGAGGGGTAATGGGTCTATCCGGGGTGG